AAAATACATTACGGCAAAGACTGGTTCATCCCAAAGATCCAGTCCCCCGGCACAAACAGAGTAATGTTGTGTATGCTGTTCAGTGTCAGGAGGGCTGTGATCAGTCTTACATCGGGGAAACTAAACAGCCACTGGCCAAAAGGATGGCCCAGCACAGAAGATCAACATCATCAGGCCAGGACTCTGAGGTCTACACTCATCTCCAGGCCAGAGGTCACTCTTTCAGGGATGAAGATGTTCACATCCTGGACAGAGAGGAACGATGGTTTGAGAGAGGAGTAAAGGAGGCCATCTTTGTGAAAAGAAATCGTCCATCATTAAACAGGGGTGGAGCCTCCGGGTTCAACTGTCCCCCTCTTACAATGTTGTTATTGCTAGTATCACTCAGCCCTCTGTGAACAGTAAACAGCCATCAGTGTGCTAATGATCCATTGTTAGGCTGATGGTCCTTCTTGATCATGTGATCAGCTGGTTTTGGTTGTCAGCAGCAAAACTGGTTGATCCACTCTGAGAAGGTGCTATTTAAGAGACTGAGCTGAATACAGCACCTCAGACTGAGGAAGTCCTCAGGATGAGAGACGAAACGTTTCTACATTTTTTTGTTGATTTGCTTTGTTTTGTTTTTTTGAATGTCCAGAGGACCAGATTGAATTTTTTTGGATTTTTCTACCTGGATTATTGAGCATGCATCAGGATGCTCTCATTGTGAGTTTAGGTGGGGGGCCATGTTTTGGTAGCTTGGCTGTCGTGCCATAATTTTCCATTTTCAGATGACTGATGGAACAGAGGTGCAGCACGGTGGCACAACTGGTAGAGCTGCTGCCTCTCAGCGAGCAGGTCCCTGGTTCAAACCCCGGTCCAGGGGCCTTTCTGGGTCGAGTTTGCATGTTCTCTAAGTGCATGCGTGGGTTTTCTCCAGGTACTCCGGTTTCCTCCCACAGACCAAAAACATGCATGTTAGGCTGATTGGTAACTCTAAATTGTCCCTAGGTGTGAGTGAGAGAGTGAATGGTTGTTTGTCTCGTTTGTCTCCATGTGTCCCTGTGATGGACTTGCGACTCGTCCAGGGTGTCCCTGCCCCTCGCACAGTGATTGCTGGACATGGGCTCCAGCGACCCCCGTGACCCAAAATGGAATAAGCGGGTAAAGATAATGGATGGATGGATGATGGAACAGAACTCTGTTCCAAGCTGCTGTTTCATATTGTAACCCTGCTGTAGAGTGAGGGAGGTAAACGCCGAGCTCTGCCAAGTCACAGGTCATTTTGTGTTCCTGAACATCTGTTAGATAGTTAAACTTATTGAGAGATAAGACACAGAGTCGCTCAAGTGACTCCACAACGTTGATGTCAAGTTAGTTTAGTTCAGGCGACTAATTTCAAGGGTTGACTAAAGGACATTTTCCAGATTGTCCAGCAGAAAACCTCTTGACAGAAGCTGGCTGATGTCACAAGTTTTCGCTGTTTGCAACTTTTACAATAAGAGGACAAAAAATCTCTAGAAAAATGTAATTTATTAGGTATATTGCACTATATACAAAGTTTAATGTTTACAAATGTTCTCAGTCAGCCATCTTGGGGAGTTTGTTACTGAGTGACGGACTCTTTTAGGAGCTGCTGGACTGGAACTTCCTCGTTCTCCTCATCCTCTTCCTCGTCATCAGACTTTCAAGAGAGTCACTCGCAGCGTACGTAAGGCTCAGGGATTAAAGCAGAAAAAACATGTTGACAATTTTTCTACTCCTGGAGTTAGTCAGTGTGGTTGTACATTTCAACAAGTCTAGCACCAAACAGCCTAAACACCTTGTTACTGTGAAAACACCACAAACATTTAAGTTTGCAGATATTTATCATAAACTACAAACACCTGACATGACTCAGTGGCTTGAGAATGACCCCCCCCCCCCCACACACACACACACACTTCATTTTTAAAGATGATGGAAATCCGTTTCGGCGACTGAGATCTTTACTCCATGTGTATTTCACGAGGCAACATCTGGCAACATCTGGTTGTCTGAGATGAAAATAGCTCCTCTGGGACAAACGGGACCCGTTTATGTCGACCCCTGTATTTGAGGTTTCACAGAGACATTACACTGCTGACGTCCTGTTTTATTACCCACTCACAGCCGACTGTGTGCCTGCGTGTTTTATTGCATGCAGTGCGTGCTCTGATCACTCCAGATGGATTTGATGCCAGACTTGAACGCTGGGACCATTTCATTTGGGACCAGATTGGACACATGTAGTCCAGGGTCATTACCAGCAGAAACTGGCAACAAGCTGATGAGGTAATTCAGCCAATTAAGTCAGGTGTGTTGGAGCAGAACCACGGGCTCTGAGAACCAAAATGATGCGTTGCTTCTAAATGTCAGCATCGGTGACACAAAGAGGGACGTCTTAGCTGTGGACAACATTTACTGCACGTCTGTTCCTTATTACGATTAAACACAGAAACGACAGAATCATTTCTTATTAAATGTAATAAAATGATGTCATTATTCTCCTGAAAATAGTCTAACAGAAAAAACAAAACTCAGACTATTACAACACTTGACATTCTGTTTAACAGATTCAAAACACGATTTATAAAATATATAAAATGTGATTTTTAACATACAGGTCCTTCTAAAAAATTTGCATATTGTGATAAAGGTCATTATTTTCCATAATGTAATGATAAAAATGAAACTTTCATATATTTCAGATTCATTGCACACCAACTGAAATATTTCAGGTCTTTAATTGTTTTAATACTGATGATTATGGCATACAGCTCATGAAAACCCAAAATGCCTGTCCCAAAAAATTAGCATATTTCATCCCACCAATGAAAGACAAGTGTTTTTAATACAAAAAACGCCAACCTTCAAATAATCATGTTCAGTTATGCACTCAATACTTGGTTGGGAATCCTTTTGCATGAATGACTGCTTCAATGCGGCGTGGCATGGAGGCAATCAGCCTGTGGCACTGCTGAGGTGTTATGGAGGCCCAGGATGCTTCGATAGCGGCCTTAAGCTCATCCAGAGTGTTGGGTCTTGTTCTCTCAACTTTCTCTTCACAATATCCCACAGGTTCTCTATGGGGTTCAGGTCAGGAGAGTTGGCAGGCCAATTGAGCACAGTAATACCATGGTCAGTAAACCATTTACCAGTGGTTTTGGCACTGTGAGCAGGTGCCAGGTCGTGCTGAAAAATGAAATCTTCATCTCCATAAAGTTTTTTAGCAGATGGAAGCATGAAGTGCTCCAAAATCTCCTGATAGCTAGCTGCATTGACCCTGCCCTTGATAAAACACAGTGGACCAACACCAGCAGCTGACTTGGCACCCCAGACATCACTGACTGTGGGTGCTTCACACTGGACTTCTGGTATTTTGGCATTTCCTTCTCCCCAGTCTTCCTCCAGACTCTGGCACCTTGATTTCCGAATGACATGCAAAATTTGCTTTCATCCGAAAAAAGTACTTTGGACCACTGAGCAACAGTCCAGTGCTGCTTCTCTGTAGCCCAGGTCAGGCGCTTCTGCCGCTGTTTCTTGTTCAAGAGTGGCTTGACCTGGGGAATGCAGCACCTGTAGCCCATTTCCTGCACACGCCTGTGCACGGTGGCTCTGGATGTTTCTACTCCAGACTCAGTCCACTGCTTCCGCAGGTCCCCCAAGGTCTGGAATCGGCCCTTCTCCACAATCCTCCTCAGGGTCCGGTCACCTCTTCTCGTTGTGCAGCGTTTTCTGCCACACTTTTCCCTTCCCACAGACTTCCCACTGAGGTCCCTTGATACAGCACTCTGGGAACAGCCTATTGGTTCAGCAATTTCTTTCTGTGTCTTACCCTCTTGCTTGAGGGCGTCAATGATGGCCTTCTGGACAGCAGTCAGGTCAGCAGTCTTACCCATGATTGTGGTTTTGAGTAATGAACAAGGCTGGGAGTTTTTAAAAGCCTCAGGAATCTTTTGCAGGTGTTTAGAGTTATGTCGTTGATTCAGATGGTTAGCTTAATAGCTTGTTTAGAGAACCTTTTCATGATATGCTCATTTTTTGGGACAGGCATTTTGGGTTTTCATGAGCTGTATGCCATAATCATCAGTATTAAAACAATTAAAGACCTGAAATATTTCAGTTGGTGTGCAATGAATCGGAAATATATGAAAGTTTCATTTTTATCATTACATTATGGAAAATAATGACCTTTATTACAATATGCTAATTTTTTTAGAAGGACCTGTATTAAAAAAAAAAAGTATATATATATATATATATATATATATATATATATATAGTTTTATTACTTAATTTGAGTAATTGTAGCTTTATGTTGTTTGTTAGGACACATTTTCACTTCACGGTGTGGGATGAAATGTTGTCCACTGCAGACACAAGTGATGAAACGTGTTGATCTTTCCTCGCTGCTCTTAGATCCAGTCCCATCATTTGAAACACTATCGTTAGGGCCATAGTAAGAGTACACAGATCAACATTCACCTACTATAGACACATGGAAATGGAACGCTGCAAAAATCACTCAGGAACTTTGCTGTCATGCTCATCTCACCTTTTCTTCTTGTCTCTCTCTTTAGGTACAACCTCACCAGCAAAACATGGCTGACCCTTGACCCCTCTGTCAACACCGTCACACCACGATATGGCCACTCGTTAGCTCTGCATGAGGTATTTGAAGTACTGTACATTAAAACACACACATGCATGCACACACACACTGGGCCACCTTAATGCATGGGCTTACCTGGGTGTCTACAGAGTTGTGTGTGTGTGTGTGTGTGGGGGGGGGGTGCATATTGTTTTGAGATCACACGATGAGCTAAAAAGCATTTGTAACTTGTCATGTTTTCAGTCAATCATTTCAGATACACATTGTGTCCGCGAGTTGATCCAAATTAAAAGTGACCCACATGTTCTCAGTGGCTGATGGTCCAAGAGCTGACCAATCAGAATGTGCATTTATAGTTTTGGGGCGTGTCCCCTCATGAATGATTGACAGTTGTCAACATGTTAAGGGGAACGTCAGAGTGCTCATAAAAATGAATATATTTGAAAAAAGAATGACTAAAGCGGGTCCAATGAGCTGCAGGAGGAGACTCATTTACTCCTCCTCCTTCTGAGGGAGGGGTGGACGAGGCGCAGCCCGTTCAGGTGGATGCTACGCTAGCTAGAGAGGAGCAGTTAGGTGGATGACAAGAAGACCGGAGAGAGGACCAGGCAAATGTAGATGATAAGTCAGAGACTCGTACCAGTGACCCGTGCTGCCGGGGCAGCAAATCATCAGCTGCATCGTACCAGGAGAAGATGGGCCAGGTGTTGTGCTGAAGAATGTAATTACCTGTTACAGGAGCACACTGCTTTTTGAGTCGTCTCAGTTTGATTAGCTGTTTCTGCTCCTGAAGATCATGGAGTTAAACTATATTAACACTAAAAGGTATCTTTGCATGACCAAGGTGTGTCTCTGTTTAACTTGGAAAAAATTGCGACCACCCGGGCTCTCATTTCCCCTCCAACTCATGACCCATCCATCCCACCTCAATCTGTAGCTCTATTTGACCATTTTGAACCCATCACTATCTTCTCTAGAGCAGGTCATGTGCAGCTTGAAACCTTCTGGCTCCCCCTTTTATGTGGTCCCCCCTCGACTACTGAAAGAGGTGTTTCCAACTCTAGGTCCGTCCATTCTTGCCATAGTAAACAGTAGTGTATCCACTGGCATGGTGCCAAAATCCTTTAAACATGCTGCTGTCCAGCCTCTCCTGAAAAAACCAAACCTTGACCCCTCAGTCGTTTCCAACTTCCGGCCTGTCTCCAAACTCTCATTTGTTTCTAAAGTACTGGAGAAAATAGTCGAGTCCCAGTTGAAGTGCTTCATGGAGGATCACACCATCTTAGAGCTATTCCAATCTGGCTTTAAACCTCTCCACAGCACTGAAACTGCCCTGCTGAAGGTCTTTAACGACATCTTCAGATTCACAGATACTGGTGATTCTGTGCTGCTGGTCCTGTTGGACCTCACAGCCGCCTTTGACACCATCGACCATGAGATCCTCATTGCTAGGTTGGAGCAGTGGGTGGGCGTCACAGGATCAGCCCTCAATTGGTTCAGATCTTACCTCACTGACAGATCCTTTTATGTCTCCATCAAGGATTTTAGTTCCGCAGAGGCAGAGCTTAAATGGGGGGTTCCGCAGGGGTCCATCCTGGGTCCCCTCCTATTCTCTTTATACCTGCTGCCGCTTGGTGCTATTTTCCGGAAACACAACATGCCCTTCCACTTCTATGCCAATGACTGTTAAATTTGCTTCCCCCTAAGACACAATGGTACATGCTCTATTCAACCGCTGCTCAACTGCCTGGCTGACATCAGGGACTGGATGGCTTTAAATTTCTTGAGTTTCAATGAAAAGAAGTCTGAAGTCATGTTGTTCCCTCCCAACAACACGAGCACATACCACTGCATCGACCTCTCCGCTCTAACCCTGTCAGAAAAACAAAGAGTCACTAATCTGGGAGTGATAATGGACCCTTCCCTGAAACTTAACAATCATGTAAACATGATCGTTAAATCATGTTTCTTCCAACTGAGGCGGCTGTCTAAACTGAAGCCCATACTGTCCAAAAAGAACCTGGAGACAGTAATACATGCATTCATTACATCTAGGCTTGATTACTGCAATTCACTCCTGTTTGGTATCAGTCAGACCTCCATTGCACGACTACAACTGGTCCAGATTGCAGCAGCCCGATTTTTAACCAGTACAGGCAAAAGAGAGCACATTACACCAGTTTTGGCCTCACTGCACTGGTTACCGGTTCACTTTCGAATCCAGTTCAAAATACTCATGTATGTCTACAAATCACTGAACAGTGTCTCCCCCCACCCAATCTCTCTGATTTGCTACAACCGTATGTCCCACCACGCTCCCTGAGGTCAGCGGACCAGTTGCTCCTCACAGTTCCAGGAACTCGTCTTAAGTGCAGAGGTGACAGGGCCTTCTCTGTAGCAGGACCAAGACTTTGGAACGAGTTACCTCTGCTTGTCAGACAGGCCCCTCCCTCTCGGTTTTCAAGTCCCGTTTAAAAACTCACTACTATTCAGTAGCTTTCAACACCAGATGATCTGTGTTTTGATCCTGTATGCTCCACACTGGTTTGTCGTCATTATCTGCATCGTTTTTATGTCTATATTCTGATTTACCTCATTTTGTATTTTGCTTTGTGTGTTACCTGTTGTTCTGTCTGTACAGCACTTTGGTTGGCCTTGTTGCTGTTTTAAGTGCTCTATAAATAAAGTGGTATGGTATGGTAACGTTGATTTGAAAGTGTCAGTTTTATTTGTATGAAGTTTATTATAAAGTATTAACATTACTGCATTAAAAAGTGGGATTTGGGTATTTGAATAAGCTAAACATGTTTATATTTGGAACCAGACTTTATGAATGTTAAACAATCAATTTATTGATAAAATACAAAATGTCAATTTCAGTGTTTACATTGATTCTGGTTTTTGCTTGTCTAGTTTGCCAGTATTTTTTATTGTTTCCAGTATTTCTATGGACAAGAATATTCATAAATTCAAGTTTTCAAACATACAGTAGCAACCTTTATAACGCACATGTTGATCGTCAGTGATAAAACTAAAGCTCGACACTGACAATGTTTAGTAGTGAAATTTTATTTTTAATATTTTCCTATTTCTTTCTCTTCAAGGGGAAAATCTTCATGTATGGAGGAAAGATTGACTCTACTGGAAATGTGTCGAGCCAGCTGTGGGTTTTCCACATCCAGAATCAGACATGGGTCCTCCTCAGCCCTCGGGTCAAGGACCAGTATGCTGTGGTGGGACACTCGGCCCACATTGTGCCTTCCACTAAGGAGCAGGACAGTCCTGTTATGCTAGTCCTGTTTGGACACTGTCCTCTTTACGGGTACATCAGCCAGGTGCAGGAATACAATTTTGGTGAGCAGACGATCCTGTTGATGCTGAAGAAGAAGAAAAGCTTTGATCTCTATTAGAACACTATGAATGCTTCAATGTAAATCAGCACTCTGAAATACTCCCAATCCTAACATAGCCGTTATTTATTCTGTGTCTCACCTCTGTGGGATTTTATTACCTTGTGATAATTAGTCATTCTCCTGTGTGGTCCCTCAGCACTGAACACATGGAGCATTGTGAGCACAGATGGTGCCCTGGTCCAAGGTGGATACGGTCACAGCAGCGTGTATGACCCCAGCACCGGAGCCATCTACATCCACGGAGGGTACAAGGCCTTCAGCGCCAATAAGTATGGGTTAGCGGGAGACCTTTACAAATTTGATGTGGACAAAAGAAAATGGTGAGTTGTTCTTTTGTAGAGGTATGTTATACTGATGGTGCTGGTTCATCAGAATTTGTTTTGTGTCATAAAGGTCATAAAACATTATAACACAATAGTTTAACAGGGTAATATGTTTAGAAAGTTCCTTTTACTTCTGAGGTATGTACTGTCAGAAAGGTTTGAGCGTCCATTTTCACAAGTTCTCCATTTGCAAAGCTTTAGAACAAAAATCCCAACATTTTTCAACATTTCAATCACTGCAGTTTTACAGCAGACCACTTATGTACTCAAGTGTCTGACCACTGAGATCCTGGAACTAGCAGGAAACACGGCTCATGACAGCAGAAGGACAGGATCCTCCCTGTGCACCTACAGTTGGCTGTCCGCAGCAACGAGGAGCTCAGCAGACTGCTGGGAGGAGTGGCCATCGCTCTGGGAGGAGTTCTGCCCAGCATTCAGGCGGTCCTACAGCCCGGGGGAACTGAGAGGCCAGCTGAGTCTGGGTGGACGGATCGGACGGCATCTGCAGCCAGTTTCTTAGGATCCACTGTGGGATGGACCTTTACAAGAGATCCTTCCTGCCTACAGCCATCAGCATCTATAACATCTCTTAATGAAATGAGGATAACGAGTTACAGCAACAAATAATTTCCCTCTGGGATTAATAAAGTATTTTTGAATTGGATTGAATTGAATTATAGAATGTTAATGATTTAGTTCATAACATCATCTCAACAACAAACTGCTCCTTACATAACATTTGTGATGCTTAGCTGAACACAATAATTATGAATTATGACTGCATGTCATAAGAACAATACATTTTACTTTCATCTTAGAAAGAGCTAACGTTGGTCAGCACTGTATGATTCAGGACTATTTCACTTTATATATACAGTATGTACAGATAGTAAAATAAGTATTTGAACACCCTGCGACTTTGCAAGTTCTCCCACTTAGAAATCATGGAGGGGTCTGAATTTTTTATCTTAGGTGCATGTCCACTGTGAGAGACATAATCTAAAAGAAAAATCCGGAAATCATAATGTATGATTTTTTTTAATAATTCATTTGTGTGTTACTGCTCCAAATAAGTATTTGATCACCTGCCAATCAGCAACAGTTCTGGCCCTCAAACACCTGTTAGTCCTCCTCTATAACGTCCACCTCCACTCCACTTATGATTCTAAATTAGAAGCACCTGTTTGAGGTCGGTAGCTGCATAAAGACACCTGTCCACCCCACACAATCAGTAAGACTCCAACTACTAACATGGCTAAGACCAAAGAGCTGTCCAAAGACACCAGAGACAAAACTGTAGACCTCCACAAGGCTGGAAAGGGCTACTGGGCAACTGCCAAGCAGTTTGGTGAAAAAAGATCAACTGTTGGAGCAATTATTAGAAAATGGAAGAAGCTAAACATGACTGTCAATCTCCCTCGGACTGGGGCTCCATGCAAGATCTCACCTCATGGCGTATCGATGATCCTAAGAAAGGTGAGGAATCAGCCCAGAACTACACGAGAGGAGCTGGTCCATGACCTGAAGAGAGCTGGCACCACTGTTTCCAAGGTTACTGTGGGTAATACACTAAGACGTCATAGTTTAAAATCATGCATGGGCCTGAAGGTTCCCCTGGTTAAATCAGCACACGTCCAGGCCCGTCTTAAGTT